TCCATGTTGAAATTCAACAACCTCCCTAGTTTGTTTTTATCTCGGCTGTGTCAGCCTTTGATTCTTCCATTCCGTCATTTATTTTTAGCCTGCCCATTCCATTAATGAGTGTGCTTCTTTATTCTTTCTATCGGCAGAATACAACGGTATCTCTCATTATTTTGAGGGGTGGACGGGTCCTACTAATATTTGTTTTGATTTTATCTTTGTGTTACATTTTTAGTTTCTTGTTTTCTTGGTTTAACACCTCCCTATCATTTCATGAATCATGAAAATTTATATATTTTTGTTGAAATAAAAAAAAAGAAGACTTTCATCAAATTTTTATGCCATTGAGGTTTTTGGTAGGACCCCTCTGAATATGCGTATTGTTGTATATGCAGTATTGAGAGGTGATGGATGAGTTCTTGTAGTGAATGTGAGTAAATTGTAATGACTGAATCGGTCGCGAATCTAATAAACTATGACTAGGATAGCTAATGAAGACCAGCCCTTCCCTATTTCCCATTCGGCCGTGTGTCACAATTTCTGTAAACAGCAGAAATAAATAATAAGAACATCACGTGGTGCATAGAGTATCACCATTATTATTCTTACGTTAACAACACGATGGTGAAGACAAAAGAGCTTAGCATTTACTTGAGACAGAGAATTATTAACTTCTACAAGTCGGGAATTAGTTACAACACTATTTCAAACCGGTTAACTATCCCTAGAGCTACGGCGCAGTCCGTTATAAAGAGGTCTAAACAGTTTGACACATCTGAGAATTTGCCTGGGCGTGGAAGAAAACCCAAAACTGTTAATATAAACCCAAGAGTTGTTTTGAAAAACATCGCTAAAAGTTTAGATACGATGGGTATCAGCATAAGTACTCGTACAATACAATGTTGGTTAAATAAAAATGGTTTGTATGGAAACCAATCACGACGAACCCCTCTTCACGAACCATGTCACATTGTTTTGCCAAAACGTTCTTGGGCAAAGAAAATTGCTTTTGGGAACAAGTACTATGGAGTGATGAAACAAAATTGAACTTTTTGAAGAAAATAATGTATAGAAGATTTGGGACAAGAAAAATGATGCCAACATTAAAACCTGGAGGCGGCTCGATGATGTTTTGGGGTTGTTTTAGCTCAAGGGGGACTGAAAGTTAATTGTAATAAGAGGGATAATGAAATCTGCAGACTATATCAAAATTCAAGCAGAAGGAGTCGATAAAGGCTATAAAACCAAAGGAGTTAAATAATTTCTGAACAGTGGAAATCTATTCATGAAAATATGGAGAAGTTGCTGATGGTGTGTGGTTGACGGAGAAGCAGCTCGTAGGCGATACCGTGACGGAGTCTATAATCTGTGAGAAGGCATTTTCTCTGATTTTTTGCAGCAGACCGCAGGTATTTCGACGGACGAAGCATCAAGCGAGCCGTTTAAAGCCGGTCGGGGCTGGTTCGAGAATTTTAAAAAGAGAACCTGTATTCACTCCTTTGTCAAGAATGGTGAAGCAGCGAGCTCGGATATGAAGATAGCTGAAGATTAGCTCAAAACTTTTGCCAGAATTATAGCAGTCGAAGGATACATCCCCCAGCAAGTCTTCAGTTGTGACGAAACAGGACTTTTTTGAAAGAAGATGCTAAGGAGGGCTTATATAACGGCAGAGGAGAAGAGGATGTCAAGCCACAAAACCATGAAGGATGGGCTAAATCTCGTACTGTGCGCCAATGCGAACGACGACTGCAAGATTAAGCTGCTGCTCTTTTATTATTCGGAAAACTCCAGAGCCTTTAAGTCACATAAGATTCTGAAAGAAAACTGCAGGTTATGTGGAGGGCAAGCCCAAGGGCATGGATCTTTGTGGAGTGAGTGAATTTGATCTTTGGTGCTGATGTTAAGCACATCACCCCTTACATCTAGCCACTTAACTCCCCAGACTGCAACCCACTTGATTATTATGTGTGGGACGCAGTTGAGCGAGAGACCAACAAAACTCCTTGTAACACCAAAGATGAATGGAAGGCAAGGATTATGGCAGCATTCACCAACTTAAACAAGGAGACTGTCTATAAAAAATGCAGGAGATTCTGAAGTCGTCTGGACGCCGTGGTATAAGCCAATGGTGATTTTATTGAATAAATTTACTCTTTAGTATTTCAGGATATTTTTGTGGAATGCTATCAAAATGAGCTGTCAGTGTTATTTTCATTATTGCGTAATTTAGACGCCAATTTATACATTGCACCCGGTATATTACATTGGTTGCACCTTCTTGTCAGAAGAACATCTCTTCATTGATCATCGAACGACAATATGCATGCATATGGCTCTTCAGTTATGAGACTAACACACGCATGCGCACACACATATCTCTCTCTCTCTCTCTCTCGCTCTCTCTCTCTCTCTATATATATATATATATATATATATATATATATATATATATATATATATATATATATATATATATATATATATATATATATATATATATATATATATATTATTATCCGATGCTAATATATATATAGCGTCGGATGATAATTCGTCGGATAAAATGATAATACTGGAGATTATTTTGTGGTCGTGGCCTCTGATAAATGATTAATTTAAACGGGATAAACAAACAGGAGACTAAGCCAACTTAATCCACAGAGACGAGAGACATAGTAACAAAAAAAAAAACATCCAACCTGAAGTTCAGTTTGTATTTCGAGGCGCTCTCTCACTTTTTGCTCCAGTATTGTTTAGTGTCTTCAAAAAAAAGTGATTGGTCTGGATCCTTGCAAACAATAGACGACCAATACTTTTTCTGTACGTTGTTTTAACTTTGTTGTTGTAGTGTAGCTTCTAGCCGAGTTTCACAATGATTTCACAAGACTCCGAGAAGACGTCGTTTGAAGTTTGATGTAGTTAATCCAATAACGCCGTAAAAATCAATATCATTTTATCGCCATTGCTTTTTTCTCGTTAAATAAATATCAAGTTTTCCACTCTCTACACTTCACACAGTCTTCTTTTAGATAAACAATTTGGCTTTCATTTCTCTAGGTCAACAGCTGATGTGTTAACTATTATTACAGAATGAGCTTCTTGGTCTTAAGTTTTCCACTGACATGAACTGGAGTGATCCAATTCTTAGGTGTGCTGCTAGGAAAAGTTGGTTCACTGTGTCAAACAATTTTTCTCAACAGAATCAACCTTGTGCATTTATAATTTTACCATTCATCAATGCGTTGAATATTGTGCTCTTGCTATATATCTCGAGATTGCCGATAAAATCTAAAGAGTGGTCTGTAATAATATCGGCACTGACCTGGCATCTCAACTTCAGTCATTTTCACACATCCGTCACATAGCTTCCCGGTATCTTCTCTATAAATATTTTTAAGGCAGTTATTCTAATGAGCTATTCTTGGCAGACCCAACCACATGAATTTAAGGGTAATACTAGATTGCCTATTAGGTCTCATTGTTTTGGCTAGATTTAACCGTAAGTTCTATTCTAATAGTTTATCTTCTCGTTTGTGGAACTTTATTACGGTTTCTTGTGTAGGAATCCTTTTACTCGTTTTTTTGTTAAACGTCAAAATTCGGAAAGTCGACATTCGATGCAATAACATAGAATATTGTTGCGGGACTTCACGTAATTTGGCCGTTTAGAATAATCGTACGAATTACATTGAAAGAATAAAATCAAGTAGGAAAAGACAACGTAGTATTAACAAATAACATTAATTTTATATAACAACAAGGATACAAGAAAGTTGGTTGAATTTATTGAATGAGTAATGTCATTTTTTGGTTGTTAATTGAGTTCTTGGATAGAATATAAATTGTATTGCGTACGTATGAGGGAACGGTGAAATGTGGTTTCATATGTGTTTGTTTGAAAGAGTTAGTATGTGTATGCGTGCGCAGTTGTACCTTGGATAAAGAAGATAGGTTAGGAACTTAGTTCTTACTGTGGATGGTGGTGCCGTAATCTGAGGCGGTCTCTCTGTAGTTTGGTCAGTGCTGCTGAGTCGTGTGTTGTTTTTGCGTGTGGACGTAAATGGGGTCTTGAATATCAAAAGCCAAAGTGACGTGGACCTTGATAGCATTTGTGAGTTTCTATGTTGGGGCCGAACTTCGTGATTTTTATCCCTTTTTTCACCCCCAGAATTATATTACTTTATTTATTCCTTATTAGCCCTAAAAAGACACGTCGTATGTCTCCTACTACGTACGCGCGACATTTTGCCGGTATCTACCTAAATTATAATAAAACTAATAAAACAAACTTTCTGATTTGCATTGTATAGTTTAATTGGTGTTTTTTTAATTTTTTTTGTTTCTTTATTGCATGTTATTGGTTTATAAATATTTTGTAGGTGTGGTTTAATGTTTATGTAGGTATTGTTCGCTAAAAATGTTTCTCAGTTTTAAGATTAATAAGTTTGTCATTCAGTTTGTAATTAAGCTTATAATTAACATAATAATTAGTTTTATTGTGTGAATCATGTTGCATATTTTATCAGATATTTTAGTGAACATGACAACTTGTTCGCCTGCCATCCATCTTCAAAAATTTAAATGCATTGTCAATTGAATCCAGTTTCTGTACTCTCTTTTTTCTCATTAGCGTTTTCTAATTCTCTTTGACACACAGTAACCTTTGGTGTATTAGTGGCATTATTACCTTGCTTGGAGGTGAAATAATTTCTAAAAAAATCTGCAAATAGTCAATTGCTAATAATATATTTTCAACAAGGGAGGTAACTTGTATATAATATAAATAGGTTACTTCCCTTTGTTCATAACATCATGGTTCGAAAAGCTAAGGTTGTTTTTCTTTATAAATGAATAAGAGAAAATAGCATTACTTTTTCGCAACAAATAATTAATATTTATTTTTCAGTAGCAACTCCTTCCTTGTTCAGACATTACATTCAATGAACATAGACAGTATATTGAAAACGTCAAATTAAAATTCACCTAGTGACCTATTTATCTATCTATCTAACTAGATAGATAGATAGATAGATAGATAGATAGATAGATAGATAGATAGATAGATAAGAAGATAGATATCTTACGGCCACATCACGTTGAAACACCAATTTTCATACGATCATTGAAATTAAGCAACGTCGAGCCTGTTAACGGTTAACAATGAGTGTAAGAGTTTGTTTTTTCTTAAAATCTAAATTAACTTTATAGGTTAACATTATAATCTAGCTGTTTGAAGGAGAGTGCTAAAGGATTTCGCCTTCTCTAGTGTAAAATGACCTCACCCGATGACGTTTGTATGACGTAATAGGTAAAGTGACAATGTAGCTGTTCCAGCCAAGAAACATGAACAGGTTTTAAAACCCTATCACAGTGAAGATTTTAGAAGTCTTAATGATAAGACATTATTTTAAAGATTGTAACTGCTCTAAGGTTTTCTCCGGCAACAGTAGCAAACGTTTACCAGGAATACACATATTCCAGATAGACACCAGCTGTACGTAAAAAAAAACAGCAGATACCAACAGGTGATGCAATGTGCAGACCGCGGGGACTGATAAGATTGTTAGTTTACCTGTCACCACATGGGGTAAAATTTTATGTGTAGCCTCCTACTCACTTCTTCTTTATAACGCCTCAGGCATCAGGGGATGACTCTAGCATTCCACTTCAAACAAAGATGCTAAAAATTTAACAAAGAAGAACATTACATCAGCCCATATCCAAATTTATCATTTAAGGCACTAATATGGCTGACACTGTATCTCAGGGAGTTTCGTCGGGATCGAACAACAAAAATTAAGCATGATGCCAAAAATGTATTGACACCACGGAATCGGCTACTGCACCTCACCTGGGTCAGAGAATATCGCCATTGGACCGTGAAAGAATGGCACGGTGGCGCCTGGTCAGGCGGTTGCATTCGTTTATGGAGGAAACCACATGAAACTACGTATCTAATTTGTAAGCAGATATGCAGTCAGTGTAATGATATAAGTATCTAGTGAAATTATAGTTTGACCAATGTGGTATATATAAATATTGGCGCAGACCATTTGAACTCCTTTATTCTCGTCGTACCTCCCCGTGGACGGGGGGGGGGTCACATAAGAATAACGCAACAACGTTTATCCTGTGCGGCTGAGATACGAAACTTGGTTCCAAGAAGACTCGGTAGGCTTTCAGACACTTCACTGACATTTACGCTCACTAGCTTTAAATCCCATTTGTTACGGAAAACTTTGGGAAGGATGGCAAACTATTGGTCAGAACCCTGACGACCCGAATCGTGTTGAAGTGGTTTGAACTCCGTCAGCGTGGAAATCTGACGGTCTTGAATAGTCTTTGTTTTCGATAAAAACGTGAAGACAAAAAGACGGCTGAAAAGAATTTGAAAAATCAACACGTCACCCGCACGTGAAATCCTAATTTCTCCTACGAGCTTCCCCCACCCCTAGAAACGATGCTACACCTACTGTCCCTTATGTAATAAAGAAAAGTTGGTTCACTGTGTCGTGATAGACCATTTTTCCTGGCAAAATCCATCTTAGTTATTTATAAATCTACCGTTCATCCATGCATTGAATATTACTGTCAAATTGGGCGTGATACTTCTGCTCTGTATTTAAAGATTCTTCATAAGATAAAAAGAAGAATCTGCAATGTTAATGGTCATGCCCTGGCATCTCGACTTCAGTCACTTACCCACCGCCGTAACGTAGCTGTTCTATAAATATTTTCAAGGTAAATTGTTCTGATGAGCTTTCCTTTATCGTACCTCGACTTTATGAATGCAAGGGCAGTAGTAGATAGGTGGAATAATAATAATAATAATGTTTTCTTCTTCTCATATTCTTTCACATTCAGTAACCCCTTGCGTCTTTTTTTTTATTGTTTTATTGTTTTGTTTCGGGTGAAATGATTACAAAATAAAATAAAATAAATCGAGATAAACTAAAGCGAGCCAAACATGACAAACGAAATCTTTCAATATGATGACATAGAAATTCCATGCATCAACTCCAACCATCTCATAGACCTTATGCCATGTCGCGTCGGCACAGACTTTAATAAATTAAGAAAAACAATTTTATTCTTCTTTTAAGAATCTCTTTTGAAATATTCCTTGAAGGTAAAAAAATAAATGTAGATTAAAAACAAAATCTTTTAACATGCCGTTAATACTGTGGGACGTTGTCACAGCCTTAATACTGTGGGATTTTTAAACAAACCATTTTAAATATTACAGTTACTACTATTTAAAATAACATAGATACCATTATTGCTCTTAATTGGTATGCACACTGTCTTGGGTGTTCATTCTGGCTTTTATAACCAGAAAAGAAACACACGCGACAACGTATAAAAATAATCAAAATGAAGAAAAACAAAAGGTTTTATTTTGAAAAATCAAATTAAAAAGGTAATACTTAAATTAAATTTGTAAGTTTCAAAAACTCAAATAAGCAAAAGTAAGTTACATTTTATTTTCTGTAAACAAATAAAACTGCTTCTAATTCACAAAAAAACATTATGATTAAAACCTTGTAAGTTACCTGTCAGAGATATTCAGAGTTCTACTTGACTAATCATGGGAATTTGACTTGACAGTTGCTAAATAAAAAAAAGTACCAAGGGTGAAATCTCACTAAAAAGTTCCAGATCTCTCCTACCCCCACTCCCCTTGTAGGGACTCCATGGATTTAAGGGGGCAACCATACTCACTATCTTTGGTCAACTGTGGTCTGGTGAGGCTATTTAACTCATAGTGGGAGGTTTTGAATTCAAAATTTTCCTTCCCTCAAGGCTACAGGACACCCATAGCTGGGGAGGAGAAGGAAGAAGAAATGGAAGATATTTTTCCTAAGGGTATTTGCGCGTAAGTGGATTTATAGTGCCTACGTCGCTGACATAATGTCAGGTTGAAGTGAGTTTAACGGATAGAGAAAAAATTCTCAAGGACCCTCGGCACTTCCCCTTTTTGTGGAAGCCTCGACATGACCCGGTAAGCCCCACTCCCGAGACCCGGTAAAGCTCTCTTCCAAAGCTTGAAACTAGTTAAGTATTTTTTTTTCTTGTACCAGGTGCGTAAGTGAATATAACTCGACTGAAATTCGAATTTTAATTCCTCAATCCGAGCCTCTATCCATGAATCCATTAAGGAAAAACTTTTTGTGGAAGGTTAAAATATATTTCATTTTTTCAGTTTAAAAATATATTTCTTTTTTTTTTTTCATTCAAAATTGAAAATTTAGTGATACTGTCCTTTGAAAATCATTCGGATCTGACACAATTGTGAGTAGCGATAATCTTCTCGGTAATCTCGTAAATCAATAACCAGCGGCAAACCCACCAGGACGATGCCATTTCAACCTGAATTTTCGGTAAGGCGCGAACAAATTTTAGAGTCCGGAAATATAAAAAATGATAACGCTTCCATTAGTGAAGCAGCTTGAGCTTCGGCGAAGGCCGTTGCAGTAATGAACACTGTCGTAGTGGACTGATTTATTTTGCTAGCGACTGACAGGAGTGTGAAGTTTATCAGTGTAATGTCTACCTCCGACTAGTTTCTTATCTTGAACAGTTGACGAGATGTTCGTCTCAAGATAACTTCAAGTAGGGGTTGGCAACAATTAAGATATATACGTGGCAACAAGACATATGTCGTCATCCAACTCAAGTTTTACATGCATACATATATTCATATATATATATATATATATATATATATATATATATGGGTAGCAACCTTTCTTTCAAATATGTTTCGTTGAATATAAAAGACAAAGAAGTTTATATGAATTTTTCATTGATTTTATCTGGTATTCTTGAATTTTTCGTTTGAGGTATATATATATATATATATATATATATATATATATATATATATATATATATATATACATATATATATATATGTGTGTGTGTGTGTGTGTGTGTGTGTGTGAACAAGTATAAGTTATATTAAGACGGAATGTACTCTACCAAGCAAGTTTTATTAAATTCACAGAAGCCAAAATTTCCATATCTCATTCTCTGATGAAGCTTTAATAAATGCGAAACACGTTTGATTTATAAACGTTTCCTATTTGTTCTTTATCCTATCATTCAGTTGGAGTCTGGTCTATATCTGATTTGTATTTGAATCCATTTATTCTTGAAGTGTATATAAAATAGTTGATATGTGTGTAGATAACACATTATTCATTCTTTTTCGTACGACATCGACCCACTTTAACCGATACACATGATATCAATTAGGACTGTTTTAAACTTTCCACTCGTTAGACAATACAGAATCTTGCGTAGAACACTGACAGCATACAGTTCTTCATAATAACTGTGAATGGTCGAAAGTACTTGAAGAAAAACAACAGAACAAGCATGTAGACTTGATGGCATCCTTGCAATAGTCCTAAAATAACATGTTCCTAAACTGGCTCCTGTTCTTTCAAAAATCTACAATAAATACCTTGGTGTTTATTGCTTTCCTGTTTGTTGAAAATCCTCTTTTGTAGTCCCAGTCGTTAAGAATTCAGAAGAACGGCCCGGCCTATTAACCTTCTACTTCTTTTTGTTAAATTACTAGAGACTCTCTTCAGACTGACGCAGCGAGCTCATCACTCTTCAGCCTTTTGTTTTTTGGAGTTTTTTTTTCAGTGAGGTTCACTCTGTACAAGGCCCGATACCTACTCGTGGCAGAGGGTTACAGAATAAGAGGTACAGTTTAGACGGATATGTGAAGATAACGGTTAACCCTATACTTGAACAGGTTAAGATTGTAGTGATCGCGAAAACACCCTCTTGGGAGTCGGTTTCACAGAGCAGTGGTCTGCAGGAAGAAGCTGTTCGAGTGGGATTTACTTCTTCCCAATGGAATACGAAGAGAATGAGGTTGGTTCGCTACAATGTGCATAGCATGACGAGTCTTAGCCGTAAAGGTTAGAACTGGTGGAACTAAAGAATGTAGTCCGTCTGAGCACTTTCCATGAAAAAAGTAATAGAACAGTGATAGGCTTATGACGTTTCATCTCTGAAAGAATGCTTTTAGGGTGGGAAATAATTTGTCATCCACAAAGACACAGAGATGCTTTCAGACTCTATCGAGACTGGAAAGTGAATAATGGGCACTGCTCCTGTCCATATATGGCAATTGCAATGCATTTTAGGCCTGATCTGGCTCTTGTAAAGCTAGAGGATAGGAAGAGGAGTCGATACTGGATCGATACTGGGAACTGACCATTTTTCCAAGATTTATAAATTCAAAATTATCCTTCTCCTAGTGCAGTAATAGATTGACGACGAGGTCTCACCAATATACAATTGAATTGGTTAGATGCAATCGTAATTTCTATGCTAACAGTTTCTTTTCTCGAACTTCTAGGTTGTGGAACTCTCTTCCGCCTTCATGCTCCGCCAACTTTGAGTGCAATGTTAAACGCTTTCTACTGTGTTCCTGATTACTCGTTTCTGTTTTCTAATTCTTCCACACCTTGTGTTCTAGTGGCTTTACTGACTTGCTTGGAGTAAAATAAAAAAGATGATTAAAAATCAACACATAGGTAGGGAAAAAGAGATGAAGGCAAACAGCCTCAGCCAGAATTTGAACTATTTTTCCCGATTCTATTTTCCATGACGCCAACCTCACTCGTGTATAGTGACTGCTTGTAAGCTAATATAGTTAAAATGTAGTGAGTACGTTTCCCTCTGATTTGTCTTGAGTTGAGCTAAGCTGTGCTTCATAATTATATTTTATTAAATTATGAGCGACTGGTTTTACTTTATTTTATTATTATTTCACTTCCGCCATATGAGCACGGGATGATTCTAATTTCTCAACCTCTGATCAAACATCAAATAACATTGACAACGCTCCATACTTTATAATACATAGAAAACGCTGGAAGGTAAGTCTCATTAAAAAATTTTCATTGTAAAAAACTGATGATCAATAAGGCTGGATCATCGAGTGCCAAAGGCAAAATGCTTTCCCATTTATTCGTCCACTTATCGAGTTTTCACTCTAAGGCGGTGGGGATGGTGGTGGGGTTTGCTTCTGTTTCCGGTCCACTGTCCAAAATAAGCGTTCTGATGTTTGGTCATTCAAATACTGATGTTGAAAATGGGCCGAGAACTTTTCAAAACCGTCTCATAGTTACTAGAGGCTGACTCGCGATTAAGTGACGGCCAGCGTCTTCAATACTCCAGCACTCTCCTCAGTATCATAAGTGTTTTCAATAATGCCGACTTCTGGATGGTTCCACCTCTTCCCCGAATATACAATTACCCCAAGTTTTTCGAGACTGGTAATGACTAACAAGACTGTCATCACGTTCTACAACTTCTCTGGCAAATTCGAGAGACTTATTCATTTTTTCATTTTCTATTCTGTGCTCTGTCAGAACAGCGAAATATCTGCTTTGTTTACTTTTTTTTTTACTATTACCAAATCCGATTAGCTAGCTTGGATTACGACTATACCACGTTAAAACGCCGGTTTTCATACGATCACGCGCAAATACCCTTGGGGAAGGTATAAAGCCACCTCTTCTTCCCGCAAAGCTAGGACTTGTATCAGCAAATTATTATTATTTCCAAAAATTCTTAAAATCTAAAAATATTTTCTGGCTTTAAATAACCTGAAAATAAGCCGTGAAAAGCAAATCAATTAATCCAACCTGGATTAGGTGATACGTTTGGATTCCATAGTCCTAGAGAATTTTATGTGTTTTATTCTCCACTTCTGATCTGTGCAGATACCAAAGGCCCCACTCTGGCAAAATGTAATCGTTTGCACAGTTCTCGGTGGATTACATTTCTCACTCAGCCACCGCGTAATCTTATATTCTTTCTGTACCAATTTGTAATTTTCTCTCTTGCAGAGTTAGCGTTATTGATTGAGATAGTCAACATGCCATAAAAAGTGACGCTGGGCTACATTATACAAAGCAGAATATACACATAATGATACCCAGTCTATTAAGGGTATACCAAGCACATGCATCACAGCCAATGTGCGCCATAAGGTGAAAGGTTTTGATAAAAGCAGCATATAGCCTTGCAGAGAGGGCAGTTAGTATTACCTTCAGATCGGGTAACTGTCCGCTTTGAGGGTGATCCCAAGTATATGGATATGAATCCCAAATCGTTTTAGCTGACTCATCCTTAAAAAGAAATATATCACCCCCACCACAAAAAAAAAGAAAAAACTTGACACTCAACCATGATTTTTTCTCTCTATTCCTGCTCATAAACAGAGATGCACAGCGTGACAGCTTCTAGGGGGCATACTAAACTGACAAGCAGATCTGTGATACGGATCGGAATATTTACTGCAGCCTATCTTTATTCATCAAGACAAAACATGGACATGTTAACACCTCCAATTAATTAAGTTTAGAAGCCATATCTGATATAGCATCAGGGATTTTATTATTATTACTATTATTAAACAAGCAAAATGATTGACGTCACTCTTCCAATATTTTTCAACAATAAGTTCAAGTGATTTAAGAAGAGAAAAAGTAAACAAAAGACATTGTTTGACAAGATTCAAGGATATTTTTCACAGTCCGTCTGTCTTCATGTCATGTTTAGAAATTGTATGGATATATAAAAATATAAAAATCTACAAAATTTATATGAACAATAACAACAATGGCTACAATATATCAATATAATTTATTCCACAGGAGATACATAAGTCTCCATACTTAAATACTGGAATCGGACTGATGAATTGCAGAACGAAACACCAGTTGTAAAATGACACCCTAAATAAATGCATACAAACACACACACACACACAAACAAAAACACGCATCTACATTTATATACGAAATATGCAGATAGATTTTTAGTTGATTTTAAAATAATGTTCCTTTCACTTGACATATCATGAATTTCACAGTCCTGCAGAATTTAATGGAACGTATTTTCACGAAGGAAGCCTAATCAGTTACGTAATTGTCAAATGTATGAATTGCACGAATTTTTTTCTTCTGAAAAGGCTGAATAGGTAGAAATATTAAGAAGAAGAAGAAGAAAAGATGGAAAGAAGAAATAAGAGATGAACGAAAAAGAAGAAACTTGTTAAATAGAAGAGGAAGAAAATAAAGGAGAAAGAGAAGAAGAGAAAGAGGAAAAGAGAAGGGGAAAGAGAAAGAAGAAACAGAAGAAGATGAAAAATAAGAGAAAATAAAGAAAGAAAAGAAGAAAAGAAGAAGAAGAGAGGAAGATGAGAAAAGTAGATAGGGGAAGAAAACAAAACAGAAAACGAGGAAGAAACAGAAAGAAAGAAGCAATGAAGGAAAAGGAAGAAATATGTAAAAGAGAAAATAGAGGATGAAGAAAATGAAAGAAAAGGGAAGCAAACAGAAAAAAGAGTAAAAGTAAACAGGAAGGAGAAAAAGGCACAGAAAAAGAAGAATAACTAAACACAAGAAAAAGAACAAAAAGTTGAGAAAAGAAAAAAGAAAAGAACAGTAAAGAGAAGGAAAAAAAGAAAAAATAGTGAAAGAATCTAAGAAAATAGAAATATGATCAGTGAAGGAAAAAATAGACTAATAGTAGGTAAAAGACGAGACAGAAAAAGAAGACGGAGTATGTAAAGAAGTACAAGGAAAGAAGAGGAAAGGAAAGAAAATCAGAGAAAGAAAAGAGAAGAAAAAGAGTAAGAGAGAGTGAAAAAAAAGAAGCAGAAAAAAAACCCAATGAAAATAAAAGAAAGAAAAGCATGTTTAAGAATAATAAAGCAGTGATTGAAGAGGAAGCAGAAGAAAAAAAGAAGAAAAATATTTTACTGAAGAAGAATAATGCAGAGGGAACGAAATAGTTGGGGAAAGAAACAAACACACAGGCACAGACATAATAAACAATTGAATACATAATCTTTCTCAGTTCACTGTGTGATGATGACTGCTTTTTAGTTTGCCTGTATTGGTCACATGATTCCGAGCGTCATGGTCATTGCTGAAGGCTCGGCACGGTTTCAAATCTGTTTGTGGCAGTTGCGAAATTCGGAGAACGTTTGTACCTGCAGCTGACTTCTTACTATTGGATCGAAACATTTTCAGGAAGGTGGCGGTGTCTGTACGCTGGCTTGAGTCACTGTTTGACGTAACTGCAGGCATTTCGACGACTTGATACGAATCGTCCATTTCTGTCACATGAGTGGAAGGGGTGTGAGGTGCAGATGCAAAGGACTCGCGTCGTCGGTTCATCATTGAGCGGCTCTCGTAGCTTCGTAGAGTAAGATTAATTCGTCGCCTTACCAAGAATCGATTACAACTCTGTTTTATAGTTAATCGAACCTGCAACGACAAAGAGAATATATATATATATATATATATATATATATGAAAAATTTGTAAAAGTATTTCTGATACATCCTGTATATATAAGTATAAAAGTAGACATTGAAGTCAATACCCAGAGACGACAGACTGTTTCATGCTAAACACAACCGTCTGTCTGGCTATCTATTCATCTACGGTTGCATGGAGAGTTGTTTGTGGCCATCACGACATATATAACCATTAACACTCCAAAATTATTATTTTGTATCTACTACCATTACTATCACTATTAGTACTGTTGTTACCATTTTTAGAACGATTACTTTATAACCATCACTACCATCATTAATACTGTTTATTATTATTATTATCATAATTATTATTATTATTATTATTATTATCATAATTATTAACATTATTATCATTGTTATTATTTTTATTATTTATTAAGTGCTGTTATCCCTATTATTATTATTGCTATTATTATTGTTACCGTCATTATTAGTGGCAGCATTACCGTTCATAAATAAAACAGTTGCAGTTGTCTTTATTAAAAAAAATACAAACATCATCGCCATGTCTACAGACAGAAGTGAACTTAACCCACGTGGTGATAGTAGACCCAAATTAATGAGTGTGGGTGTGTGAGAGTGCGTGTGTGCATGTCTACCAACGCAAACAGCCGATCTGAAAAAATTTCAAAGTCGCTGCCACCTGTCCTCGAACTAAGAGAACACATTGTTACATTTATTAGACGCTACAATCTTGACACCGAAATAGACAGAATGAAATTGCGTACATACGTGTTGCTCGTGCGTACGAAAGTGTAACTGCGCGTAACCTAAGATTTGGGTGTGTATGTATGAACTAACATTTATCCACCTGTATGTATGTCTATGTACACGTGAACGTCATCCCAAAACAAACACAGTACAAGAAAATTCAATCTCCCACTGATAAACACAAGTAAAGCATAAATAGATCTACTTTTGAAAGTAATAAACCAGTTTGTCTGAAGATCACTAAAGTGTGAAACTTAAAGTCACAAACAACTCTCCATGCAACATATCTCTATCACGGATATTGAGCACCTTCCACTAAATAACGCATATATGTAATAAAATTAAACAGGTTCAGTTATCTTGTCACTAATATGAACTTCGTGAAATTCCATCAACTCTCCACCGAAGGCAAAACAAACAAGGGGAAATAAGCGAGAAACTTCCTTGCCAAGTTTGTGTAAACAGATATCGAAACAATTGCTGCAAAGTCAAATAAGAGTCAATAAAGGTATTGCAGAAAACCAAAATATACTTGAACACTGTGGCTTTACAAAGACTCTTAAAGTTTTCTCTACAGAATAAATATTTCTTTCTTGTTTTACCTCATTCTTGTTTGTTTATTTTCTCAACACTTAGGTTTTTTTTTACAAAACACAACACCTAACTTAGTAACAGTTTAATACCCACTGCCTTTAGTTGTTAGTTTCTTTACTTCATATTAACTTTAAACACTTCACAGGCCTTTACATTTCCGTACTCGCTTGATTTTAACATCTTCAATTCGTAGCACTTCTTCATTACTATTACAATACATTAAAAATATCAGATGGTATTTGTGATTAAGTTTTTATTGCTATACTTTTATTGTTTTTATTGAGCTTTTTATTACTATGCTATCCCATAATTTCTATTTTTGAATGTAAGACTCAAAAATAGAAATTATGGGATAACTATGTAAATTTTATGTAGGTCGTGCCATTGTAACTTGACATCATTAAAATGATCAAATCTATATCAGTCGTGCTCTAACATTTGGAGAAAAGCAGCTTGTGGCAAAGTGACCTGAAAGATCGGAGCTTGAAGGAAACATGGTAGTGTGAACTAGACTGAGGAGGCATTTCATTTTTGAAATTGTGGAGATCTTTGACATCTCGAAGTGAACGGTATCATATGTGCATTGGGAATACCCACGAAAGATGTTACCATCCACCGTGAACAGCGCAGTGATCATGATTGGAGGTTTTTGCAGAAAAAAAAAGTGCCTGATGCATATCAAGGTCAATTCAAAATCCCCTTCTGGATAATTTGTTTATTTTTTTCGTTATTTCAGACATATTTTCCTGATTCCCAGTGAAAGGATGAATATATATTATCCAATGACTGAACACTATGTTTAACTATAAAACAGACTGTCGCCGCTGATTGTTGACCTCAGTATCCACTTTTATATTTACGCACCCTCTATACCTGATGTTCAGTACTTTCACCCTTAGAACTATATTTTATCATATATATATATATATATATATATATACATACACACACGTACATATATATACGCATACATATATATATATATATACACATGTATATACACATATCTATATATACACACATACATAAGTACATACATATATGCATATATATACACACATATCTATATACACATATCTATATATACACACATACATAAGTACATACATATATGCATATATATACACACATATCTATATACACATACATATTTACACATATCTATATACACACATATATATACATAGATATACATACACATACATAGATATACATACACATAAATACACATATATACATACACACACATAGATAGATAGATATTGTGTAAGATTTTCCAATTTGTCACAGACAAGACATATACTATATAAACAGAAGAACAGATACCGGAATTTTGATACTATACGAAGAACACTTTGATTCATATATATAAATCATTTCGTTTTTTATGGGTAATATACTAGCATTTATAAAAAGCATCTCAAACCAACAGTAGACATAAATTCGAGTAACAATTACAATGTATGTGATAAATATTTCCTTAAGAACATTGCAATTCCATACCGAACACGATATGCCTAGATTCATCTTCAGACACACACACACGTGCATGCGTATTTGTGTATGTATCTATCTGAATATATATATATATATATATATATATATATGAAGAAATTTTGAAAAAAAAACAAAATCCTTAAATGTAGTTAACTACATTTAGGATTTTGTTTGTTTTTTCAAAATTTCTTCATTCTGTCGGATTTATATCCATTTACACTTGCTTATATATATATATATATATATATATATATATATATATATATATATATATATGTGTGTGTGTGTATACATGTGTGGATATGTGTGTGTATGTGTGTATATATATTTATGTATGTATATACATATATATGTATGTATCTGTGTCAGTTTGTGAGTATATATACAAATGTGTGTTCGCGTGTCTAAGTCAATTTTTTTGGTTAGAGGCCAACTTGACCGAAACATTTTCAAGAGACGGTATTAGAGTTCCAATCTCGATTTGTTATTTCCTGATATAAACTTTGTTCATGACTTTTGCTCTTTTAACTAATGCCTGCTTTTGTAGGGAGCCCATATGGAAGACAAAAATTTACGAAGAAAAACAAACAAGAAAAGCGTGAAAAAAAAAAGAACCGAAGAGGAAGAATAAAAACAACATTAATCATAATAATTCCTCTATTAATCTGTTTAGATTTTCTGTCTCACACTATGTTACTCTGCGATGCTTTATCTTTACAAAGGTCCGATTAGACTAAAAAAAAAAGGAGCATTTCTGCTATGTCTGGGCTGGCAAAGCTCAATCACCATTTTCTACCCTCCCTAGAGGCTAAAATCGTTGAATTATTTTCCACTCTACAACTTCTTTCCCTGCAGGCGCAGTGTTGCCTGCTTGTCACTTACTCTATCGCTATTTCCATGGAAATGTTCTGACGAGATACATTCATTAGTTCTCCCAGTTCAGACATTCACAACTAACACTCACCATCCCACGTATACTACTACAAATCCTCCTCATTTCCTTCATATTCCATTAATAAGATGAAAATTTAATTCGGACAGCTTCCACCCAAGATCCGCTATTTATGGAACAGACTTGCATCAATCATTATCTATTCTACATAGTTTGCACTTACTTCCTCCTTTTACGCCCATTCAATAACCTCATTCAGTAAACTTCTACCTTGAGTGGCTCTTGGACCTTGTATTGGGTAAAAAAAAATTTAAGTTTTTTTTAGTTATTCTTTGCGTCATTTTGATAATTTTTAATCTTGTCCAAACTTATAATTCCCATTTTGAATCTTAATTCAACCACACGAAAAAGACAAGTTGAAGTCTTCAATCTGTTTGATCACTGAACAAGAGAAATTTGCATCCGTCATTGTAAATCTGGGATGATACAGTGTTTTTGTCTGTCTCCCTCGTACAATGTTCACCTGAATGTACCAACTTTTGCATGCTAGGCCTGACCATAGATAATCCATCATTTATGCATTTATATTTCTATTAGACCATTGCAAAAGTTCGTGTCGGATTAGAAAATTAAAAACCAAATTTTACATACTCACAAAATAACATTTATTAGTCAAGTTCATAGTCTCCATTGTTTTTAACAACTGTTTCTCGGCGTTCTACAAGCCTGTTGAAGCCATTTTCGTAGAAACTTCGTGTTTTTTGTTGGAAGAAGATCGTCAGGCATTTTTCGACTGACTGTACAGAGTCAACTTTTTTTGTCATTTAAATTGTTCTGTAGAAAGCGGAACAAATGAGAATTCGAAGAGGTCAAATCAGGAGAATACGGTGGGTGATGGAGGGTGGGGTCCCATTTCATCTCTTTAAGCTTTGACAATGTTAGATTTGACTTGGTGGAAAATGACACTTTTACAATTTACCAAAATTGACTGTTTTTCTTTAACGACATTTAGATTCGTGAGCTGGTTGCAATACTTTTTGTTTTGTCAGCTGGAAGAAACTCAAGATGAATTATACATCTACTATCTCACTAAACGGACAGCAACGCCTTTATTGGAAGCAAACTTGATTTATTGATAGGTTTTGCACATTCACAAGCTTGTTTCCAGCTCCGTTTGCATGGAACCTTATCATAAACGATACATTTTTCATCGCCCGTAACAATTCTGTCCAAGATCGGCTCTTTTTCATGGCATAACAGCAAAGAAATCACCACTTGTTCTGTTCAGTCAGAGAATGTGGCACCCACGTGTGGATTTTGGAAACGAACTCAAGTCTCTTTAAAAGGCGAAAAGTAGTTGAGATTTCGATTCTCAAGCTCTTAGCGATCTTTTCTGTCGAAGAATTTATTCTCCAATATGGTAAGCAGAGCGTCTTCATCTACATCGGAAGGTTGCACGGAATGTGGGTGATCGTTTAGGTTACAATCAACCTGATGAAATTTACCAAACCTCTTTTTGGCAGTCCGAAGAGGCGGAAAACGATCCAAATGAAACTTATAATTTTTGTCGCAGTTCCGACGCTTACTCCATTCCGAAATTCATAGAGCATAATATGGCGGAAGTGAAACTTTTCATGCTCCATTTGTAAGGTATTAATTTGTGGACAAAAAGTCTACATTTCAATCTGGAACACACCAGAAATTGACACCAAAATAAACACCAGTGTCAAATTGCGGTAATTTCGTATCAATAAAAATCGGACACAAATTTTTACAATGTTCTGATATCTATCTATCTATCTATCTAATGAATTTAAACAGAATACATTTGAATAAGATAAGATATTCACATCAGTTAGTTATCGTTAGGCAAGCCTATGAAAAATATTCCTTCATTTTATCAACAAAGGTTTACATTTTTACAAGCTTATAGAGGAAAACTTATTCTCCACTTTTCAGGCTCTTTTACAAAGACCTATCGCTAGTCTATCGCTATTTCCATGAAAAATCTTCAGATGAGCTCCATTCCTTAAGTCTCACCAGTTCATGCATTTACTGCTAGGACACACCATGCCACTTCTACGAAATCAAATCAGCCTCATTTCCTTCGTATTCCAAATGTAAGAAGAAAATTTGACTTAGACATCGTCTTCCAAAGAAGCATTACTTTGTGGAACAGACTCATCGGACAAGTACTTTCTTGAACACCACCATCTTAACCTCTTCAAGAATCAATCACTATCTACCCTTCTTATTCTCATAATATTCGGCTCTTTCACTCATGTCATACTTCATTCATCATAAAATTTACCTTGGATGGCTCTCCATCCTTGTATTAAGAAAAAGATTAAGTGTAATAAGATAAACTCAAGAAAATGTATGAATATTTATAGGCTTAGGTCAGCATTCCTATTCACTGGATTCTTAACATCTTGATTTTATTCATTGACAGAATTTTCATAACACTGACTTGATTATAACTACCTTATATACTCGCGTATCATGCGACTTTTGATCAACTAATTTTGAAGCTAATTTTAAGAGGGTCGCGTCATACACGAGACATAAAATTAGCGTATGTGCTGCTGGCCCTGGTTACGCTGTTGACCAAATAATATATCCATTTACTGTAGTCAAATTAGCTTCAAAATTAGGTCTTCAAAGGTCGCATATGTTACGCGAGTATATTCGGTAGTTATAATCAAGTCAGTGTCATGAGAATTATGTCAATGAATAAAATCAAAGAAATAATTTGGCAATGTTTAACGTTCGTACCCACAAAAAAAATGTTGTGTGAAAAGGATCGTTTTTCCATTGACATAATTGCTATTATTTTAACTACCTTCACACCTCGGCAATATTTGTTTTAAAAAGCGATGATTAGAATTGAAATAAAACTTAATGAAAGTGAATTTATACATTTTCTTTGTTCTTGAGAATTTATAACAAAAATAATAAACACTATTTATTTATTATATTGTTTATTTACACTATTAGATTTTTTATTGGAATGGTTTGAAAAACATCAGCAAATTGCCAGTCAATTCGTACTTTATAAAATGATAAATAAGGATTTCCTTATAATTGGTTCACATATGTTAATAATTTAGTAAATATCTATAAATTTATGAATAAAATTTTTTTTTATATTTATTTCTTCATAAATTGGTAAATGATAAATATTTTCTTGTATTAGTTTTAATACAATTTTTAAAATGTTGTAAATATAAAATTATTGTTGTAAATAAACAATCTAATCTAATTGTTGTAAATAAACAATCTAATCTAATTGTTGTAAATAAACAATCTAATCAATGATTATATTTTTGTTGTAAATTCTCAAGAACGAAACAATGTATAACTAAACTTTCATCATATGTTTAGGTTTTATTTCAATTCTAATCATCTCTTTAAAATAATAAACTTTTAGTAGTTAAAATAATAGCGGTGTCAAGGGGAAAATCATTGTTTTGACACACCATTTTTTACGGGCACCTAAAGATTGCTAATATTTTAATGAAATGCATTGATGTCGCTAATTAGGCAAATTATATTCAAAGCTTTTTTTCTTCTGTAAAAAATGCAATATTATTTTCAACGCGAATATATATATATGTATATATATATATATTAAAAATATATAATTGCCGTGAACTGGTTCACACTCCTTCCTCATCTTTTGAACAGGACTAGAAGTTTATCCCATGTTTTATGTTTAGGATTGGGTTGCCAGTTGATTTTCATAAAGACTTATTTTCTTTTAACGCCTTGCGTTTTAGTAGCATTATCGCCTTGTTTGGGGTGAAATGATAAAAAAATGAATATATTCAAAATACATTCGATGCAGTTTCTCAGGAAGTTTTTCAATAAGTTTTGTTGGATACGCACCTCTTCGTGTAGAAAACAGTAAAGGAATGATAGGATAACACCCTAAAACGAAAAAAAAAGAAACAAAAAACAAATTACTTCAGTTCTAAAATCCTTATATTAAAAGTGTTGAAAAACATTCTACTTATTGGCTGTGCACTAGGGCAGAGGTCGATTTTGTAATTGTGGTATTGCACACAATTTGAAAGTTGGGGTTTCATATGATAATTAATGACACAAAATACTTTCTTCTAAATCGTTATCGTTGTTTGAGGAAATTAGTTTAAAGATTACATTAAAGTTCAAAATTGTGGCGTTGGAATTTAATTTCGGTTATCAGTGAAAGCCTTATAGCACAGCCTTATAAAATGTTTAATTTACTGAAGCTTTACATATTGTATATAAAAAAATATGCATGACACAAGCACATTATTACTAAATCATTGTGTCATCAAATAAGACATTCATCAAATAAGACATTCATTTACATCAAAAGGAAATTACACTGAACAATTTATGATGTAATATGTTATACAGACGTGTAATTTTAGTGTGATTTTCAATAAACAATACAAATTTAAAACGTTTTTTGTACCCAACAGTATTATGATGTTATATACACTTTTATCTACTTTTTGTTTTTATTAATGATTTAACCTATGATCTAACAAATCTTATTCATTAAGCAGTTTTTTTTATAGTCATGTACAATCTTTTACGCAGTTTTCTTTATCGAATACAGTAAAAAATAACACATTTTTCTTGTGGTGATTCATATTTAAAATTCCGGTTTGAATATATTTTCCATTCAATGTATCGAATACAAAAGATATTAATTTTATTTGGATTTATTCTTGAAATAGTAAAATTTTGAAATCAGTTTGTAAGCAAAAACTAAATTATTTCTGTGCATTTTTCAGACAATCTTTAAAACTAAATGCCCCCAAATTAGTGAAAGCTATGAATGTAAATTTTGGTGTCAATACTTAGTACATCAAACCCGAGCTTTCATACTGAGTGCAATGTTGATTTTCTAAAAATATAGTGAAAAATCAACCTGCCCTACTGCGCAAATATGATCGGTTAAATTCGCAAGGCAATAAAGTGGAAAGCAAATGTTAATCTCCACAGTTTAACAACATTTGTTTTTTATTACGAACTTGTCCATTTACACATATATTTCGAACTAAATGTAATCTTACACAAAATCATTAATGTACATTTCAGATTTAATTTATTTCTAAATTTTACCATTTTCAAGGTAACTCTGATTTCAATTAAATTTTTGAGCTATAGTTTAATATCTCAATGTCATGTATATATCATGTATATTTTGTTAGGCTTTTTGGTTGTTTTTAGCTTTATTTAGCTTGTTTCTTTCTTAACTGAATACAAATATATCCATATCTATATTTCGTTTAGCGAATCAAATCAGGCCTGTCCGTCCGAAAAGTGTTAACACCTCCAACGTTAAAGATGTTATTTTTCGCTTACTGAAAAGCAGGTATTAATCTTAACAGTGTGCAGAAGACAAAATGAAGACAAAGCGTAATTTTAAAAGGGGGAACGTTTTCGTTATGTCCTTCCACTTCATCAGTTTTCTTCAATTAAACTTTATATGATGTCAGGCCTATTTTGCTTTCATGGAAAAGTAGGACTGAAAAATATATACATGATCTTTTTAGAGTATTTTTAAATCTCTGTTTCGCAAAATTTCCAGAAAACATTCTTTCGAGACCAGAACTTGATTGCAGCGTCAGTCTTTCCGAGTACCCCAGCTACTTTTGTCTTCGAATCAGACGCCGAGTATCTTGCACGACACGTCTGTCCACTAAAGGAGCGAACAAATCCACGAGACCAACTGCAAACCAAGAGATTTATCACGATGAATTTTGGTTCCTTTTACCATTATATACAATTCGATTTTATTTTTTATTTTTTTGCTGACCACCACAATATCGGCATTGCAAATAGGAAAAACTCGTCAGTCTGGGCAAAATACCTAGCCGAGGTAGTAGCTTCATTTAATTCATTGCAAGATGACGTTTACCCTTAACTTTCGCAGGAAACGCTAAAAGACATATAGAAAAGGTGGAAACTCACAACCCTGACGAATATATCTGTACAAAATAAAAGGCCTTGGTCTTAGTCCATTCACTTCCAACACTGATCTAGAGGTAGCATGCACTCGAGTGTTCGAGTTTTTTGCTGGCCGCAGACTTCAAGGAACGACAGTCATCTCTGTCGAACAATTGCTTTACTGATGTAACTTGATAAGCGAAGCTTGGTAGTCGAATTTCCCGAGAGAATTATCTCAGACAGTTTTGTTTTTCATAACAAAAGTCTGCTCGATGGCACAGTACAACTTGATGTAAATTATTAATCCTGGATTTAGATTAATTAAGTGCCCCAAATGATTAATCTTATTATTCTCATTCATGTGTAGCGTCAAAACTTCCATTATCAGGAATTCGAAATAAGGCATTGCCGAGTTCTTTTTCAGAAATTTAAAATAAAATAGTTGTTTTGCATAAAAACTGCGCAAATGCGTCAGTTCTGGTTCCTTAAAAAATTCTGACAAATCTATGATTGCCGTAAAACAATTTAACAAAAAGTCTATCAAAAATGCAATAAAAGATCTTGTATTAACACCCACTCGCACAAAAATGTAATAACTTTGAGATTATATATATATATATATATATATATATATCAGACTAAAAGACAATTATATTTATGTGGATATTTAATAAAAATTCTGGGCGTAAGTTAATATTTTGAAAAGAATCAATTATTGTACTTTCAAGAACTTTTCAACTAAGTTATTTTTTCTCTTAATAAGTAAAGCATTTTTAAGATTGAAATGATAGTTGAAATTATTTTGTGTATAACTAATACTTTGGATAAATTGTTATATCAGATATATCCTATGTTCATAAATATGTCTTTTTTAAAGATTTTGGCAAGTTTCACCAAATCTTTTTTTGTAAACAAAACAATGCACCAGAAGTAAAATAAAGGAAGATTTTTCTGATGTTTTAATAAAAACTTCAGAATCTCAAAGAATAACAGACCAATCCGCGTATTTCCAGCCGACATCAAAGTATTTATTTAACAGCAAGAAAAAATCGCCATTTTTGTCTGATTTACTTAATAAAACATGTTTATTTGAGAGATTGCCGCCTAAATGTAGTATGTTTAAATGCATACGCACACACATTCTCTCTAATATATATATATATATATATATATATATATATACACGTACGTATAGTAGGAAGATGAGAGAAATTCAAAAACAAACAATAATAATAACTAGATAATGAGACTATTAAACAAAATAGAAACATGAGAAAAACGTTGAAAATCGGATATTTTTTTTTTAACACGTCTATGTCCATTCACAACAAAAAATAAATGGATATACAAGGACAATCATTCTCTGCTATATATCATAAAAGCATGTGTTATTGAAGACTACGGAACTTTTTCGTTTAATAATCTTCCTTTCTCGCAAGTTTCTTTGTATTTGATTCTAATTTATTGAAAAAAAAGTCACTATAGCTTTATGTTTTTGGTTTTAAGTAGCTTGCTTTTTATTTTTATTGGTAATATTTTTGGGGATCCAAGCAGTGTTGTTGGATTAGTTCATAGGAGAATATTACCAAAAATCAATTACAACTCTGTTTAACAGTTAATCGAACCAGTAACGACAAATATATATATAATACAGATTAAATTTAAAATTGGTAATTTTTAATTTTATAGTAAAATTTAATATTAATTATTTAGAATGATTTCTATTTTAGTCTAACCTTAACATTAAGGCATTAATTATTATAACCAAAGTTCCTTGTTAAGTTTTTGAATTTTCATATACTTATATTTTGATTGGTCATTGCAGCTTATGTAACAGTGTTTCCCCTATCAAGGGGTATTTGGTTGAGTTGAACCATCTAAAACTTTTTTCTACATTCATTCAACACTATCACATGATAAGACACCAGAAGTGTTGAAACAAAGTGGCTATTTTTGTAGTGATTTTATAACATATTTATGCTGATTTTCGAATAAATTATATTTTTTCTACTCTGTATTGAGCACTCTTTCAAGAATAGTATTTTTTTTATTAGAATTTATTCCGTATATACCAATCCTATATAACCAACATTGTATATCAGTTTAATCCTTTGGGAGATTGTATCCCTGACAAAAAAGTAAGTACATATGTTGGCTTGACGACAACATCATTATCAAAGCGTCTTACACTTCATTTGTCGAATACAATTTCTATTGCCCAACATCTAAAACACATTCGTGTTCACCTTCACAATACGGAAAAGTACTTGTTGGCAAAAGCAATACACCACGAAAATGATAAATAAAAACATCAAAATCTCGAGGCCTTCTATAACAAACTCAACCAACCAACACTTAGCAAAATTTCTTACGAATATAGCAAAAACATTAAAATGTAGATAACATTTAATATCATTTCATATTTCTACCAATTTCCGGTCAGCTCCTTTATATTGAAATGCTTGTTCTGCAAAAAATTCCATAGCTACAACGGATAAATTAAAAATTTTAAAATAATTACAGAACGCATTCGTTGGTGTTTTTAAAACTCACCATCACAACAGAATGCAGATTTTATCTCCGTTAAAATAAGTTTGTCTTTTTAATTTACCCTTGGAGAAATTGTTGAAAAAGATCGAAAGCGCTAACAAAAAGAAAAAATTCTGTCTAACGTCTTTTGTTAGGAGAATGGAAGTTAAATATTTTTAAACTTAAAAAACTTAAAAATATTAAAACTCAAAAATTTGGAACTTAGCGTTCCCATATCTTCAGTGCTTCCCTTCAATGCATGAATATCATCGACGTTTACGTAGATATTTCCTCCCTACGCATATATAATTCCATCAATAAGAACATTACTTTAGTCTGAGGAAGTCCACGTATGGAACGAAACGTGTTACACAGAATTTTCTACTTTGTCATATATATATATATATATATATATATATATATATATTATATAATATATATTTTATATTATATAA